ACATATAGATCAATGGAACAGAATAAAAAACCCAGAAGTAAACCCACAACTGTATGGTCTGTCAGTCTTTGATAAAGCAGGAAAAGAATATCCAATGGGAAAAAAGTCTCTTCAAATAGTGTTGGGAAAACTGAACAGCAACATGCAAAAGAACAAAACTGGACCACTTTCTTAGACCCTACACACAAATAAAATCAAAATGGATTAAACACCCAAATATGAGACCTGAAACCATAAAAAACCTAGAGGACAACATAGGTAGTAACCTCTTTGACATCAGCCATAGCAACTTCTTGAGGTATGTCTCCTGAGGTAAGGGAAAGAAAAGGAAAAATAAACTATTGGGATTTCAGCAAGATAAAAAGCTTCTGCACAGTAAAGGATACAATCAACAAAACTAAAAGAGGAATGAGGAATATAATTGCAATAATTGCAAATGACATATCTGACAAAGGGTTAGTATCCAAAATACATAAAGAACTTACAAAACTCAACACTCAAAAAACAAATAATCCAATTAAAAAATGGGCAGAAGACATGAAGAGACATTTTTCCGAAGAAGACATCCAGATGGCCAACAGACACATGAAAAAATGCTCAACATCACTGATCATCAGGGAAATGCAAATCAAAACTACAATGAGATACCACCTCACACCTGTCAGAATGGCAAAAATCGACGACATGGGAAACAAGAGGTGTTGGCAAGGATGGAGAAAAGGGAAACCTGCACTGTTGGTGGGAATGCAAACTGGGCAGCCACTCTGGAAAACAGTGTAAAGGTTCCTCAATAAGTTAAAAATAGAACTACTCTATGATCCAGCAATCGCATTACTAGGTATTTACCCAAAGAATACAAAAATACTAATTCAAAGGGATTCGTGCATCCTGATGTTTAGATCAGCATTATCTAAATAGCCAAATTATGGAAAGAGCCCAGTTGTCCATCGACTGGTGAATGGATATAGAAGTGCTGTGTATATACAATGAAATATTAACTCAGCCATCAAGAAGAATGGAATCAAGAGACTCTTAACTAGAGGAAACAAACTGAGGGTTGCTGGAGGGGAGGTGGGGGAGGTTGGGGAAATTGGGTGATGGGCATTAAGGAGGGCATGTGATGTGGTAAGCACTGGGTGTTATATGCAACTGATGAATTATTACATTCTACATCTGAAACTAATGAGGTACTATATGTTGGCTAATTGAATTTAAATAAAAATAAAAATAAGGAAAAGAATGAAATCTTGCCATTCCCAACTATGTGGATGAACTAGAGTGTGTTATGCTAAGTGGAATGAATCAGAGAAAGAAAAATACCATATGATTTCACTCATGTGGAATTTAAGAAGCAAAACAATCAAAGGGATAAAAATTAGAGAGAGGAGAGACAAACCAAAAAAGACTCTTAACTGTAGAGAACAAACTGATGGTTACCAGAGGGGTGGTGGGTGGGAGGATGGGTGAAATAGGTGATGGGGATTAAGGAGTGCACTTGTGATGAGCACAGGGTGATGTATGGAAGTGTTGAATCACTATACTATATGCCTGAAACTAATATAACACTGTATGTTAACTAACTGGAATTTAAATAAGAACTTTTAAAAAATAAAATTTGAGTCAGTACTTATTGTCTGCATACTTCTGGACCAAAGCAAAGGGGTGCATCATTCACTTGTCACTTCTTGATGTAGTAGGCACGGAAGCATGATTTACTGGTGACTTTAGTGAGACACAGCACACCATCTGCTTTCATGAAGGAAATAAGAAGATCTATGTGTTGTCAGTAACTGATTTTGAGCTACTTAGAATTGAGAACTTTGATGATAAAAATTAACTTGAGATCAACTAATCTATCCCTTGTGTTAAAATAGTACTACACAGACACTTGTATACAGACGAGCTTCTAACCTATTTTTATAATCTTACAGAATTTTTTTCTTTTTATTAAGTTAAGCCCTAACTTGGGGCTTGAACTCAAAACCCTGAGATCACGACCTGACCTGAGATTGAGAGTCGGACACTTAACTGACTGAGCCACCCAGGCGCCCCATGGTCTTAGAAAATTTTCTTAAAAATGCTTTTGAGTTATTTGTTTAACTAGTTTTATTTTATTTATTTTTATTGGTTTAACTAGAATTAGTTTTAAGAATTTCCCTCTCCATCCTCTACTACATATCTTTTGTCTCTTCTTGCCCACTGCATTCCACTGTCCTCATTTTTCATCTCTGGTCCATGTAGGATATTTCTTTAGTAGGTTTCCAAGTTAGGAGAAGTTCTCTTAGGGTATCCTTCCAAAGGTTTTTTTCCACAATATTTTTTTTTGTTCCCTAATTCTTGAGTTGTATTTTAAAAAATAATTTTTGTATTATCTTAAATTTTGAAGGCTTCAAAGTATTTTTACTTTGCCTTCATATTTTTATTTATAAGATCTGTATTATTCTTTTTAAATTATTCTGACCTTTTCTAAGAAAATATTGAGATGCTAGTGTTATATATAAAGAGAAATTAGTGTTGTATGGCAACTAATGGCTATAGAGTGAAAGTTATATTACAGGTTGATTGATTAGCTTCCTCTCTAATGAACTATTATCATTTGAGCTTCTCTAAGAAATTATTATGTTTATAAACAAATGTTTCCTCATGAAAATCATTAATACACAAAAATTAAAAATGAGAATACTTTTAAGATTTTGGATTTCTGATCTCCAAAGTATGAGAAAAAATTTCTGTTGTTTCAAGCCAAATTAAAAAATAAGTTGATATAATTATAAATTGTTCTTATCTAGTCATTAGAGAATATCTTTAATAAACTTATAAAAAGATTTCCTTCTTTTTTTTAAGATTTTATTTATTTATTTGACAGAGAGAGACAGCAAGAGAGGGAACACAAGCAAGGGGAGTGGGAGAGGGAGAAGCAGGCTCCCGGCTGAGCAGGGAGCCCGATGCAGGGCTCAATCCCAGGACCCTGAGATCATGACCTGAGCTGAAGGCAGAGGCAGACACTTAACGACTGAGCCACCCAGGCGCCTCAAAAGGATTTCCTTCTTAATATACTGACAAGCTGGATAAAATTTCCCAAATGTTTCACAGATAATCCATGCTCAGATGCAAGAGAATCTGAATAGAATGTTGTTTTATTTGTGCAAACAAAACGTTTTGACTTAAGAGAATATTGCCATTCAAATTTAGTAGTGAATATTTAATATACTATGTTTTTTTAAAAAAAGAGATCCATGGCTCCAAAAAGAACGTTCCTTAATAAAAAATGTAAATTTTTAGCAAAGAACATTCAGACTTTTATCACTATGAGACCTTCAATGGTAACATACATAACTTTGGTATTTATTTATATATACTTGGTTTTTAATGTTTATGTGTCCAAACCCTCCTCTAGTCCTTCTTTTTTCTCCTCCAAGTTTCTTTTCTTAAATTACCATAGAAGAAATAAACTTAAATTTCATATAGTTACCCAGTGGTTGTTGACTTAATACAGCTAAATATATTGTGCCATTTGCTTCCCTTTTTCATACCCCTAGTATTTTATCTACCATTTTGCTTAAATATCCCCTCACATATGGCCTTGTGACTTGTCCCGTTCTGAACTCTGTCTACTCTAAGCTCTGTAAGCACAGAGAAAATCTCCCTGTGCTTCATTGTCCTCAACTGTAAAAGGAGGATAAATCAATCTTAGAATTCATTTGGGCTTCAGAAACTATCTAAAATTCTTTGGGTTTTATGATTTTTCTATAAGGTAATAATACTTTTAATTTTACACATGACGATAACATACATGCTGCTGAGTAGTTTAATGAAAGTCATCTTTTGAGCAGGTTAACCAGCCTTTCTTGGAGGTGTTTTACAACTCACAATTAGCTCTTTTAAAATTTAATTGTAACTTATGAAATCTATCTCTAAAGTTTATTTGTGGAGATCTTAGAGTGTTTTGTATTGAATGTGTTTTTTTTAAAAAAAGCTATTTATATTGATTCATATAACTTCTTTCTACATTAATTTATAGACACAATATTTAAGGTTAAACAGTAAATATTACTGCAAATTCAAAAATGAGACCAAGGAAATATAAGAAAACAAACTTAGCAAAAAGTCAGTATGATTGTTTTCCATGTGCTTCATAATTGGCTGTGAGTTAGTGCAGCCATGACAAAAAATAAAAATAAGTTCAGTTTCAGAATTTGTATTATAAAAAGGAAAAAGTGTATTGGTTCCACTGAGAAATTAGAGTTTTTTTCTGGTACCATATAGAAGTTCTTATGTGAGTCATTATGGAGAGGACACAGAATAAAGCTATATTGCATATTTGTTTCTTTTTCATTTTATCGTTAGCTTGTGCTTTCTTTGCTCACTTTGGGAAAGCAGAATTTTTCATAGCATCTACATTCATGACTATGCATATGCTAATAGAATAGATACTAAAAAATAATTACTGGGGTGCCTGGGTAGCTCAGTCGGTTAACTGTGTGCCTTCAGCTGGGGTCATGATCCCAATCGGAGTCCTGGGATTGAGCCTCCGTGTCAGGCTGCCTGGAGCCTGCTTCTCCCTCTCCCTCTGCCCCACCCCTAGCTCGCGCTTGTGTGCACCCTCTCTCTCTCAAATAAATAAAATCTTTTAATAAAAAAATAATTACTGATAAAAATGATTTTCACAAGTAAATGAACTTAAGTTTGGGTTTAAAAAAACACTTATGAGTCCTAATAATCTTTCTTTCTTGTGTGGCATATTTCCAAGATATAATGCCCTCATCTTTTCATGTTCATATTAGCATTTAACACATTTTATTGTAATTTGTTTATCTTACATTTGCCCAGATCCTCACTTGACTGTGGGTTCTGCTAGGCCAGGAGTCCTATCTTAGTCATTTGTAACTCTTAATACCAATTCTGTTGCCTGTACATAGTAACATACTTAGTAAATATTTTAGTGAATGAATATAATATCGACTTCAAGTATATTTGTTTTCTCTCTTTTTATAATTCAGAATTATGGCTTGGAAACAGAAAATCTAAAAACCCTTTCTCACAAGCTGAATGCATCTGCCAAAAATCTACAGAATTTTATAACAGGGAGGAGAAGGAGTGGCCATTATGATGGGAGAACCAGCCGAAAATTGCCAAATGACTTTCTGACTTCGGTTGTGGATCTGATAGGAGCAGCCAAGAGTCTGCTTGCCTGGTTGGACAGGTAAAATCTTCCACATGTTTCATAAGTAATCCTCCTCGACACTATCTTGAATATAACAGTATTTCATGTGTTCTTGTGAAAGAAGTGGACAGGTAGAGGAATATCAAGTTACAAATGTCTAATTATGATTCATCACAATATAGGGGTATCATCAAATAGACATGAATCATTTGTAAATTTTTATATCTAAGTAGCCAATTAATAATTAGTCCCTGACAATTTCAGAATACCTTAACTGCTTTACAAGCAAAGTCATTTTTGGCTGTCATAACAAGATTGATAGTACTGTTTTATCTCCTAATTTTCTTTATTCATTGTATTAATTGGTCATATTTAAGGGTGTGAGCATTAGGATTCTATTTACTGTTTTAAATGGGTAATTAGACACTGACACTTTAATAGTATGCAGTGCATGTCTCCTTACCTTACTAAATTCATTCTTTATTATTACTCATATTGCACAGTCTTGAATATCATACACATAGTTTTAGATTTTTTCTAGTTAATTTTTATTTGTCTAGGAACACATAACAAAAGTTTTCATGATATAAAATGAAAAAAAAATTAAAATATGTGATTAAACATTGTAATGGTAAAACAAATTACAATTGTTTTTAAAAATTAAGCTCTTTACTTTCATTTTTAGAATATTTTTGTAAGGGATATGTACTATGTTATGGTGGTTAAATAACCAAATTTTAGAATACATTTTATTCTCATAAGAAACTCTGGTAATATACAATTTTACCAGAATTCTTTCTTGAGTAAATGTCAGTGGGATATACATTATATATAATATTTTGGCTTTTTAAAAATCTGAGGCCTTAAAAATAAAATATTTGTATTTTTAAGGTAAAAGTTAAGATAATTTAACTTTATATTATCTAAATTTATATATATTAATAATAACATAATATGATGATACTAAATCCAAATCTTAATACTAAGCCCTGGGTTATTAGCTTTTTGATAATTAATTGGTGGACAGGATATTTCTTTTGCATTATGACATTTTTAAAATTTAATTCTAATTGTCTAAACTACTTTTATCAATTGTTTAAAGTAGTTGCACTTTAAATGTATAAATTCTGCAAGTTTCATAATGGTCAATAAGTAAAATATATTTAAAATATGGCTTAGTCCTTAAGTAATGTAATATATTTGTTTCAGAAGGCTTCTCAGTAATTATAAAGCTTAAAGAACACATACTCCATTTTAGTTTATCCTCTTAAACTATGACCTGCTCTATAATTGTGAATTTGCTTGACCTCAATAATTGTATTTAGTAAATTTCATTTTATGTTCTTTTTACACTAGTACTTGTCAAATAAATGAATAATAGAATGTTTTTACTTTTTAGTGGCAGATACGGCTTTTTACAAAATCATATAAATAGCTTCTAGAACACTATGATAGTTTCTGACATTTTATTGTATTACATAATTTTTTATGGTGACATTTTTTTATCATCTAAGAAGATGCTTTTAGTAAGTGTCAGTTCGCCTACAAACACATATGAGTGTACACACACATACAAAAACATATACAAATACCCACATAACAATCCATGAAGTCAATCAATGGTGTTTTGTGTTTGTTTCATAGGAAGAGAAAATGTGATAAAAAGCCTGAAGGAAATAATTTAAATCATCTGTTTGGCTTCCATTGCTGCAAAGGTTTTCACAATGCTTATTTTGTATTCCATCATACCATGGTGATTGATTAAATCAAAGGCCATTTAATATTTTGACCATAAAAATGAAATATGTACTTAGAAGGAAACAAAAAGACAACTTTGTGATAACTTTAAAATCATTTGCTGAAACTGTAAATTGAAAAAAGAAACTGAAGTTTATATTTTGAAGATCTTTCACAGAAAAGTTCACCTCCAGGCTGGCTTGCCTATAAGGATGATACTTTAGCAAGCTTAAGTTTTAAAAAAAGGAAAGAAGGAGAAAAGAATTTTCTTACATGCTAAGGCATTTGGACTTATGCCAAAGGCCTTCGGAACCTGTTTAGTAGGGTCATTGTGCTTAGGCCTGTGGATCTTGATGATTACTAGGGCTGCAGTGTTGGGAAAAATTAAAGAAGGGTAAGGATGGAAGAAGGAAAACTAACTTAAGAGGCTATTTTAGGAATTAATCATGCTGCTGCTACTGTTGATGATTTTGATGCTAATACCTCCAGCCATACTCATTTAATCAAAGCAAACCTAGGAGTGTTGTCTTCATTTTACAGATAGGAAAACTAGCACTTACAGAGGTTAAATTCAAAACCAAATGGTAAGTAAACAGTGGAACTATGATTCAGCCCAGGCATCAGACAACACAGTTGATCCTGCTATTTACTGAGGTTTTTAATTAGAGGAGTGGAAGTGAGAATAGAAGAATGTTAGAGATATTTATGCAGATAAGTAAGATTCTGGGACAGGTGAGATCTATAGACTACAGGAAGCATCTAGGTATTTGACTTGGCTGGCTCAGTGGATGGTTATTGCCATTATCAAAACAGGAACAAGTTATGGTGGAAGATGAATGTTGAGTTGAGTGTGAGGCATGATAAATTGTGAAAAGGTCTTTAGAGTATTGCTGCTCAGAAAAAATATGTGATCAATAGAGATTTGGGAATAGTTAAAATATAGGTGATAAAGTCATGGATGTATTAATATGGTGGTCTAAGGAGAGTTTTAGAATGGATTCCTTTTATTCTGCTCTGTTTGTCTTCTGTACCACTTATAGCTTTCTAACACTGTATCATTTACTTATGTATTATTTTTTTGTCTGATTATATGATGTATGCTTCAAGAGAGCAGGGATATTCATCTGATTTGTTCACTGCTGTCACAATTATCGAGAAGAGTTCCTGGCCTATAGTGGGTGCCCAGTAAGTATTTTTGAGTAAATGGAGAGAACTGGGATAAGGAGTGAGCTCTGTGAACCACCAACAACTGAAGGATGAGTAGGAGTGCCGCTTGTGGAAAAAAAATGAGAAGGCATAACCAAAGAGGTAGGAGAGAATTAGATGAGAGTGGTGTCATGGAAGCAAAGGTAGTAAAGAGGTTTTTGTTTGTTTGTTTGTGGGTTGTTGTTTTTTTTTTTTTTTTGAGATTTCAGTATTGTTTTATTTTTTCCAACTTTATTGAGCTGTAATTGACAAGTAACTATGTAAGTTTAAGGTGTACAGCATGATGATTTGATACACATATATATTGTGAAATGATTACCACGGTAAGGTTAGCTAATACATCCATCACCTCATATAATTACCTTTTTTTCCGAGTGGTGAGAACATTTAAGATGGGAGTAAAGAGTTGTAGGGGGAAAAGGAAGTGGTGAGTAGGATCAAATGCTGCTGAGTGATTAGGTAGGTTGAGGACTGAAAGTGTGTAGTGAATGAGGGAATCAGGATATATGTGACCGTCCTAGCAACAGTTTAATGATTTTATTTGGAAGTCATGAAAACTGGAATGCATGAGTTGGTTATGAATTAAAGGTAAGTGAGAATTCTTCTTTGAAGAAATTTTTCTCTGAAATTGTTTGTAGTTCAGAATAGTTTGTGTAATGTTAACTTCCCTTTTTCATAGATTCTTAATCTTTCAGTGGTGATAGGAAAGAAGAGAGGTTAATGATGAATACTACTTCTATATTTGGGAGTTTAACTTTGCTTCCTCCTCTGCCATGGATTATTTGAATATCTTAACTGTTCCTTGGCTAATATAAATTTCAGAAGGTTCTGAAATCAATTTAATAGGACTTTTTCTGTAACTATGCAAGGTAAAATGTTTAGGCTGTTTGTTTTCCTGACAGTAACCCAGACTTTTATCAGAGATTATTAGTGGGTGTGTATTTAAGTTATATTTTTATTCTTTTCAAAGGAAAAAAATGTTTTCTAGGTAGCGGCAAGAACACAAGACAACACTTCATATGTCCTCTTGTTTCATTGTGTCCTACAAGCTACACAGAAAACAAAACACATGAATCATTGTTAGAATAGCCAAAAGAGCAGTGTTCCCCATGGCCATTATTGTGAATCCTGGCCAAAATGCATCATGAAATACTGCAAAGGAGCAGAAGGTTGAGAAAGAGTTGAATTTCAGCTCTGCCTGTTAGTCCTGCGTAATCTTGAACCTTAACTTTTGTTTTTATTTTCTTTTTAGAATAGGATGTAAAACCTGCAGAATTTGAAGTTCTCTTCTAAGCACTAATACTCTATAATTAATTGACCTTGTTCACCAAAGCCATATGAGGAATATATCCAACTTATTTCCTTCTAAATAATATCAAAGAATGAACACTAACAACATTTGTTAGTTACTTGTAGAATCATTATTTAACTCTCTACTTCTTCTCTAAATAAGTTTAGTTTTTTTAAGTTCTAGAACAAAACTAATCTCTTTTAATTTTTTAAATTTTATTATGTTATGTTAGTCACCATACAATACATCATTAGTTTTTGATGTAGTGATCCACAATTCATTGTTTTCGTATAACACCCAGTGCTCCATGCAGTACGTGCCCACCTTAATACCCATCACCGGGCTAACCCATCCCCCCACCCCCCTCCACTCTAAAACCCTCTGTTTCTTTCTTGGAGTCCATAGTCTCTCATGGTTTGTCCCCCCCTTCATTTTTCCCTTCCTTCCCCTAATGTCTTCCATGCTATTCCTTATGTTCCACAAATAAGTGAAACCATATGATAATTGACTTTCTCTGCTTGACTTATTTCACTTAGCATAATCTCCTCCAGTCCCATCCATGTTGATGTAAAAGTTGGGTATTCATCCTTTCTGATGGCCGAGGAATATTCCATTGTATATATGGACCACATCTTCTTTATCCATTCATCTGTTGAAGGGCATCTCAGCTCTTTCCACAGTTTGGCTATTGCGGACATTGCTGCTATGAACATTGGGGTGCATATGGCCCTTCTTTTCACTACATCTGTGTCTTTGGGGTAAATACCCAGGAGTGCAATTGCTGGGTCATACGGTAGCTCTATTT